ATGATTATGATGTGGCTAGATTAAATCTTCCAAGACATCTAATTGTTGAGGTTGCCATGCAGGAAAAGAAAATCAGAAGCTGCAAGTACATATAGGTAATCTTTGTTTAGCATGCAATTGGGACCAGCAGCTCAATTGTTAAACAAAATGGTTGCTAAGGGAAACCATGACTGTGTTTATGATCTTACTTCACCTTCCTTTTACTTTACAACCTGAGAAAGTCATAAATGTGAGGATTGGCTGCAAAGTTACTTTTCATCACCATCATAATTCTGAACAATCACTAAACAAGGCAGTTACTAAACAAGGATTCTCTGTACATAATTGCTGTGAGCACATGGAACTTAAGAAGCATCAACACAATGAAAGATGAAATAGATCAACTTCATAGAGAAGAGCAACAAAGATGATTAGGGGACTGGAGGCTAACTCATATAAGGAACGGTTGCTGGAATTGGGTATGTCTAGTTTAATGAAGAGAAGGACGAGGGGGGACATGATAGCAGTGTTCCAGTATCTCAGGGGCTGCCACAAAGAAGAGGGTGTTAAGCTATTTTCCAAGGCACCTGAAGGCAGGACAAGAAGCAACTGGTGGAAACTTAGCAAGAAGAGAAGCAACCTAGAACTAAGGAGAAACTTCCTGACAGTTAGAACAATTAACCAGTGGAACAACCTGCTCCAGAAGCAGTGAATGCTCCAACACTGGAGATTTTTAAGAAGAAACTGGACAGCCATTTGTCCGAAATGGTATAGGTTTTCCTGCCTGAGCAGGGGGTTGGACTAGATGACCTCCAAGGTCCCTTCCAACTTTACTACTACTATCATTATTATTGTTGTTGTTATTGTTATTATATTGATATCTTAGGTATCATTGCATTGAAACAGACTGGAATCAGATATTCTGTCAGATCACACTGTTTACAACTTAGGACATAAAAAGAAAAGAAGGATGTTGTTTTCATAGTTAGAATGTGGATACAGCCACATTACTTGACTACAGTGTAGCCAATAATTGAATAATATTAACTAGATTTTGTGGACAACTGTTTAATATGATATCCAAGTTTAAGCTCCAACCACTGAAGCAGAAGAGGAAGAAGCTGATAGATTTTATGGTCAAATTCAATCTAAAACTGACAGAACATGCAAGACCTGTTTCTTGAGACTGGAGACTGGAACGCTGATGGAGTACATAAAAAATGAATTGACTATATTATTGGTACAAGAAGGTAAAAGAGTTCAGTTGTAACAGCAAAGACATGGCTGACAGATCACAAACTGATCAATGCAAGTTCCCAGTTAAGCTAAAGTGGAAGAAAAAAGAATCAGTTTCATTGTATTATCATGAGCATATACCCAACATTTTCAACAAGAACCACAGGAATCACTGAAGTACTGAACTTCATTGATATAAAACCAGAGGAACTATGAAATGAACTTAAATAAATTGTTAATGATGAATCTGAAAAAAAGATGGCCAAATATCAAGGAACGGGAGAAAGTAAACTGGATGTCAGAAAAAATGGTATAAATTGCCAAGAACAGGAAAAAAGCCAAAGACAAGAAATATAATAATTTTAGGAAACAACAAAAGTTTTCATAGAGCTGTCAGAAGAGATAAGCAACAGTATTCCAACAACTATAAAGACATTGAAAAGGGAAAAAAAACATGGAAAAAATGAGGCAAATCTTTGAAAAGCTCTTTGAATTCAACAAGAGATTCCAATCTTGAATTGGTAAGCTAAAGAATGCCAATTGACAGATAGTAACTGATTCAAAGATCAAGAAAGATGGAAAGAGTATTGAATAGAGATGTCAACATCCAAGATGCCTTAGAAGAGATTCCTTAATAGGAACTTCTCCTTAATGAGAAATTTTAGTACTAGAAGATGTAGTTCAGATTGTTACCAAGCTGGAAGATATAGGAATTGATGGACTACCCAGGCAAGTAGCAGAAGAAGAATCAGTAATAGTTCTAACCAAGTTATGCCAGCAAATCTGTAGAATAACCAAAAAAGGAAACCTAACAGAGTACACAAACTATCTTACAATATCCTTAATTTCATATGCCAGCAAAATATGGTTTAGGATTATCCAACACAGATTAGAGCCCTGTATGGAAAGGGAGATGCCGAATAGTCAAACTAGCTTTAGAAAAGACCTAGAAACACAAAACATCATTACTGATGCATGCTGAATAATTCAGCTAGCCAAAGAATACCAAAAAGAGGGACTATGTGCTTTGTTAACTATAGAAAGGCCTTCAGTTGTGTTGATCATGCAGAGCTGTAGAATGTGTTTAATAAAATGGGAATCTCACAATATTTCATTGTACTCATGTGAAACCAGTACATAGGTCAAAAAGCTGTAGAATGGGTGGAGAATGGCAAAACAAAATGTTTCCTGCTTGCCAGAGGAGCGAAACAAGACTGTACAGTATACTCTGCCATTAGTTATTCAATCTCCATATGGAACATATATCGAGGGAAGTTGGATTGGAAAATGATAAGCATGGTTTTAAAATTGGAAGAAGAGACAGTGCTCTGACAGTTAAAATGCAAATGATCTGCAAGCTGTAGTAATAAAAGTCAAGGATCACAATTGGGATTAAGTTTAAATATAAAGAAGATCAAATTAAGACAAATACAGCATCCAGCCTTATAATTGACAATATAGATATTGAAGTGATAAATACCTTTTAGGATTTGTTATCTGGGTAAAGGAACCAGCAATCAAGAAATGTGCCATAAAGTAGCACTTGGAAGACTAGCCACGGAAAAACTATTCAGATGTTCAGATGTGTTAAAACCTACGAAGATTAAAATTATTTGGGAAAGGGTTTTCCCTGTACATTGTATCAAAGGGAAAGCTGGAAGTATTTGAACTTTTGGAGAAGATTCCTGAGATAGCTTGGAGAAGAAACAAATGGATCATTTGAACAAATCAACCCAGAGGCATAAAAGACCAGGCTCAAATTATTCTACTTTTGACCAATTATGCAAAGAAAACTTCTCTCTGGAGAAGTTTATAATTATAGTGTTTGGGAAGATGGAAGTAAAGAGAAGAGGACAGCAAGGTGGACGGATGCAATTATAGCAGCAATGGGTGCGCTGTTGGGAAATTCCCCTGGAGAAAATCCATGTCCAAAAAAATCCAAGCTGGTCAATCAATCAAATTTAGATGCCACACCATTTCCAAGACCTTGCAGTATCAACAAGTATTAATAAGAATAAAAACAAACATCATGTATAGGTAGTCCTCTAATTACAACCATTCATTTAGTGAGCAACTGAAGTTTCAGCAAAGTGATTTATGACTGGTTTTCACATTTGTAACTGTTGTGGCATCCACATGGTTATGTGATCAAAGTTTGGGCATTGGTAACTGGCATGTATTGTGATGCTTGCACTGGCCCAGGATCACCATATCTAACTCTCCCAATTGACATCCAACAGGCAAAAGTCCATGAGGGAAAGCCAGATTCGCGTAACAACTGCAAGATTCACTTAACAACTGAAGTGATTCATTTAACAACTGTGATAAAAGGTTATAAAATGGGACACAACTCACTTAACAACTGTCTTGCTTAGCAATGGAAATTTTGTGCTCAATTGTGGTCATAGGTTGAGGACTACCTATACTACAATTATAATCAATCAATCAAAAGTAGCATGTTCTTACTCGTCTCCAAATTCTTTTTTCTTTTCAGTCACTTCCAACTGTGATCTGAATCATATTATTTCCTAGGATCATCTGTCAATAGCCACTCCTTTGAGTTCATGTAAGCCTCATAATGTTTGTTCAAAGATGATTTTGCTTCAGGGGTCAGCTGAAATTTCTTTTTTTTTTTTTTTTAATTGAAATTTTTCAAAAGTTTTACAAGTAAGAATCCACCCCCCCCTCCCCAAAGGGTCAGCTGAAATTTCTGATCTGCCTTTACATCTATGGAGATCCAGTCATCTCATCTCAGTCATCCAGGTCCTAGTTGTCCCAAAGATGCTTTTTCATGAGGCAACTGGACTTTCTTTTTTTCTTTGAAGATTTTTCGCTTCTCATCCAGAGCTAAAGAAGCTTCTTGCATGAGAAGCTAGACCAGTGTTTCCCAAACTTGACAATTTTAAGGCATGAGGACTTCAACTCCCAGAATTCCACAGCCAGCAACACTGGCTGTGGAATTCTGGGAGTTGAAGTCCACATGCCTTAAAATTGTCAAGTTTGGGAAACACTGAGCTAGACATCTCCACAGAAAAACAAGGAAGTCCAGTTGCCTTGTGAAAAAGCATTATTGGGATATAACCTTATCCTGCAAGAAAGAAGATCAGTTTCTAAAAAGGTAGATGCATTTTGGTCATTGTGTTCATCAGTCCTATTACTGAACTTTTCTGATACCCTTTATTCCTTCCAACCCAACTGAATGTTGGAGATAAATTATATATCTTATATATATAAGAGCCATGGTGGCGCAGGGTCTCTCAACTGCCAGCAGTTCGATCCTGAACAGCTCAAGGTTGACTCAGTCTTCCACCCTTCCAAGATGGGTAGAATGAGGACCCAGATTGTTTGGGGCAATATGCTGATTGTAAATCGCCCAGAAGGGGCTGTAAAGCACTGTGAAGCGGTATATACAGTAAGTCTAAGTGCTATTGCTAATGCTGTATAAAGGGGCTCAGAATTCTACTTGTCAGCAAAATCACTCTCTCAAAATGGAATAAAATGGGACCAAATTTAGTATGATGGGCTAAGCTGTCAAAAGAAAGACTGAATTTGAAATGGGCTGCATCTAAGCTGGGGAAGAGGAGAAAAGCATTCCAGAAAAAAAAAAAAAACAGTTCAGAAAATAAATATTTCTCTAGAAGAGACACAGGGCAGCAACAACCCGTTTTTAAGTTCTTCCTCCCTCTTCTCAGTCACCTGAACCATAGATCACTCTGTGCTCCCCAGTGTACACATATACACATCTACACAATGCAATGGGAAAGGAGAAAATATAGACAGCTACGTCATTATTATTTTATTTTATTGCGAAGAACAAAACACAGAGATTTCCTGTGTTCGCTGCTGGCGTGAATTTCAGAAACTCTTGGGGTTTTTTTTTTCATTCCCAAAGACATCAAACAAATTGCATATAAATAAAATTTAATTGGATAGATGTGGCTAAAAACTCTGAAAGTTTAACATACAATAAGCTATATACGATCAGCTTTTAAAAATTATTTGTACACATTCTGAATAAAGAATCATTAATGAATATGCTTATATATAAAAAGTATGTTTAAAAAAGCATTCAAACATTTGTGTATATTTTAATCAGGCTAATCATCATCAAAAATTTTAAGTTTTTTTAAATCATTAGTTGATTCTTTAAATAGTTTTGCCTCTAGAATTAACAAGCATTTGCTCTCAATTTTCAAGACTAAATGAAAATAACTGAAAGACAATTATGTGATCCTTCGATATTAATCATTGCTATACAGAGTGCCAATGGGTATGTACAGTCCTCATTTCATTTAGCAAAATTTGTTTCTTAGTTTCAGCTTCAAGTTAATAGGGTTTCTTCTTTGCTTTTTTGTGTCTTTTTCTCTTAAATATACTTTGGACGAAAAGATGCAACAGAATGCATTTTACCCCAGTCAGGTGGGTTCTTTTAATAATGCCGCTTATTTGTGGGGAAAGCATTGATATTCTGTTATCCTGTGCCTCTGTTCTTAGAAAGTCATGGATGGGTTTTTTTTTTTGGTTTTTTTGGGGGGGATTTTCAAAAACAATGTGATTGTGTTCTGGAAAGACTGGTATTATGATCCTCCCTTTCAAACTACAATGGTTTTGAGTGGCATCTCAGTCAGTAACTGTGTGTCACCAGCACTTTAAGCTAACACAAACTGTTTCTCATGGATACTGTTTTGTGGGATGTAAACTGCCTGGATATTTATCTGATTTCATGCATTCATTGTCACTGCCCCTTTTCATAGCTTATCTTGCTTTCTAATTCTGAAATACTCATCACTTTGAAACAAATTTGTGTCCATTAAAAATGTTATTCTCCCAGCAATCTTATCCAGATGTCACTGTCTGATAGAATTATTCCAGTGCTTGTAACATCCTTAGGTTATTGTTCTTAAAGATTCTTGCTGCTGTGACTTCTGAATGTATGGGTTTCCAGGTTGCATTTCAGATGCAGGAAGAATTATACATCATGACACGTCACGTGACATCGCTTGTTTGACACCTGTGAACTAAGCAAAGGGGCTTGTAAATATGTTGTCATTACTCAAATCTCTCTGTAAGGCATCATTTGGAATTACCACTTTTAGGAAAGGATGGGTGGGCTGCTGTTGAAAGCTGTTTTTAGAATCTGGCTGAATTGTGCAAGCACCACTATTTCTCAGGGAAGACCTCCGGTTTCTATTCCCCACCTCCCCTGCTTCATAATACCGTATATTCCAGCGTATAGGGCGACCCGGCGTATAAGATGACCCCCTAGTTCGATGCTGGGTCGCAAGACCATCGACGCCGAGTCACATGCCTAGAAAGTCGTCATATACGCCGGAAACTACCGGTATTTCCAGTGTATAAGATGATCGATGCTGAGTCGCATGTCTAGAAAGTCGTCTTATACGCCGGAAACTACCTTATTTCTGGCGTATAAGACGACTCGGTGTGTAAGACGACCCCCGAGTTCAAAGGCTGTTTCGACGCTCTCAAAAGTCGTCTTATACGCCGGAATATACGGTAGATTTGGCTGTCATTAATTTGGCAGAGATAGTGAAAATCCTTGAAGTCTGATTAAATGGTATTCCATTCTTGCAAGGAAGCCTCGTGAATTAAACATCTTCCTTCCATCTTCCTGCTTCTACTCCTTTAAGCTTTCCTTTCCCAGACGCCAGCTGTCACCAAGGAAATTTGCAGCAGCATCTTCTCCTGCCTTCTTAGTTGGCTGAAGCTGCACCAGCATGGCCTGGAGAGTTTCCTTCACCATCTGGATCTCTCTTTGTAGAGACTGTATATGCTTTATTAAGGAATAAATTGAAAGGTAATTGGCAGCTCCTTTCCCCTCTTCCACTTATTTAATAAGTTGTTGCTGTACTCTGCACAACAGATGGGCACTGCTAGCTAATTGCAGCATCAAGTTCATCTAAATTGATTGGATTAAATATTAATATATATTTCACACTAGCTCCCCCCATCCCACCCCCTGCGCGCACACACACACACACACACACACACCTGTCTTTGTGAGCTTGTAGGCAATCAACAGCCTTATTCAGTGTCTTTGCTTAAGGGCTGTAAAATGAACAGCATTCTAGGGGCATGTATGTGCATATGTAAGCGCGAATGGCTGCTGTAACTCCCAGAGTGCTACACAGAGAGAATTGCAGCCACTATTTAGAGAGAATGATCTGAAATCTTCATTTCAGTTATATAAATGAATATACAGTAGATAACCTGTTTGTCAACATGCTGGAACTTCAGTCTATAGATACTAATTTTAACTAACATAAGATTTGGTCTCTGAGTTCACACTTGTAGAAGTCTCTCTTTCTTCCACCCATGCACACACTCAAACGCAAGTAACATACTGCTTCCCCTAAGATGAAAGGCAATCCCATATCTTTTAAGTAGCGACAGCAATAAAAACATTCTGAACATCCGTTTGTAAATGCATTTGCTTTAACATAAAATTGTAATATGTAACTTGGTACATTAGCATGTATCCCCAGTTAGGAGTGCTGACTGAAACTTGCAGTCTTGGAAATGAGAATTTATTTCCTCTGCAATCTTATTTCTGCAATTGGATCAATATGTACATAGTGACTCTCCATAATGCTAGCCAATTTCCAATGGAACCTAGCACAAATGGAGCTTAATTAGAACCAATGCAATCAGAGTATGACTAATCGCTATATACAGCGAGAAAAACTATACTTCAAAAAAAAGTTGCATGCTTTGGTTGGGAACCAAATGTTGAAAATTATTTTAATTATTATCGTTAACATCTTAACATGCAAATTTTATTTTGCTTCAGGCTTCTGATCCATTAGACAAAGCTTGCTGATTTCATCCCCATTTGGCAAACTGCTTCTTTCACGGTGCAAAATAAAGGAGGGATAGGTTCACCTGGTGTCGTGCCTTCCATCTCTACTCGGCTGTCATTATGTGCATCAAGGTGTTAAAGCTGGAATAACCAAGGACCACTCCTTTTAGGATTGGCCATGCTATTTATCTACGGCACTTTTTCCAGTGGCTCTTGAAAGTTCTGTGCCTTTTGATACTGTGGAAAGTTTTATATCAAAATATATTTTATTATATTTTATACTGTCTCCATCTTCCCTTAAACATTAACAAAATCCACAATGAACTGAGAATCGTGTCTCTGCTAGATTTAATAGACAGTCAATCTGAAACTAGGTTAATCAAGTAAAAATAGCAAATGGGAAAATTCTTTATTCAAACCCTCCTTAAACCCCCAAATAAGTCACTCAGACGTAATTGACATATCAAAGAAGAAGATCTGTAAACTCAAATAGAGTTAATTAAAACCTTCTCCCAGCAGGACTTCATATTCACCAAAATAAGCATCACAGAGGACACTTACCTACTCAAACTCCATGGCCCACAAAGGACTACTTTTCCATAAAAATGCCTGATTTCTGCACCCCTTTTGTTTCTCCCTTTCAAGGCCGGATTCTGTGCTCTTTAAATAAAGCAACTCCTTTTCATGCAGCATGTTTGGTGTCCTTGCAATACCATGGCTCAGATCGGGACCCTCAGATGCCTTGCACAATACAGATAAATAAATTCAGGGATAATGTAAATTCTTGCCTGTTATTTATGTCTCTCTCCTTGAGTTGGTTTTTTTTTTTTTTTGCCTGTCTTATCCGATTTTCCAGTTAAATGTTTTGATGTTTGCTGATGTTTAACATATAAATATCAAACTATATTTTTGCTAGCTGATCTGAGTAGTATATATGCTTTCTCTGATCTGGATATATGGGTTGACTACAAGTGTGCTGGCTACAAAGTGCATTGGATATTACCCACAGTATTTTCCAACAATCTTAACTAAATATATATATATATATATATATATATATATATATATATATATATATATATATATATATGAAGGTAAAAATGTGGCCTTAAGAGGTAATTGGGGGGGGGATCCTAGGAAGGAGATGGGGGAATCAGAAGGGAATCATGGAAAATATATGTAAATATTTTCAATCTCAGTCCCACATTCCAATTTAAAAAGCATTTTTTCAACTTGGTTCTATTAAAGCCTTCTCAAGATTCCATCCCCCATAATTTACGTAAATTTACTGAGTTACACTATTTTTAAAAGGAATTGTACTGTTCTGTATATGCATGTGTAAAATTTTACTTTTTTAATTTTAGAATTTTATATTATTGTACAAATGAAATTACAGACAAAACAAAAATAATAAAGCAGTAATAATAAACCCAAAATAACAATAAATTGAAAAAGAAAATAAAAATGAAGATCCATACAGCATATAGCAAGTTTCAGTGAGAATATGAATATATTATAGAAAGGCCAGATCTTTAAAAATGTTATTAATCTAGACCACATTGAAACACAGTGCTCCATCTTTTCATTTTCCACAGTATTGGGATACTGTAAAGATAACTCACCTTCTGAATCCATCTTATTTTTTTTTCCCACCTATGTAAGACAATTCTCTTGGCTGATATCTGGGTTACATAGAGCCATTTTACTTCAGAAAAAGTCAAAATCCACATTTCTTAAAATTTAGTTCAACATTGTGCAAATTTTTACCCAGTGTTTAGAAATTTTCATTTTTCATTGCTGAAGAAATATTGCTCAGATCTTTAAAATGAAAAAAAAAACCTGACCCCCAATGAAACCTTCCTAATTTTACAGGGGTGGTAAAATGGGTACAGAGTTCTACAAAACATTGTCAAACACACCACACACTTTTCAAAATGATGTTGCTCCGTCTGTGTCAGAGATCCATCATCATCTTACATTTACACAAGGTCCAAACTATCTGGGGATAGTTCCAGATCCTGACTTCCTTCTGCTTCAATTCTCTGCTTCCAAGGAAACAGAGAAGTTAGTAGCAAGTAATAAGTTTCACTGATACGTTTTGTGGACCACTGAGCAAAGTCATTTCAATGAATTTCCATCCTCCCAGTATGATCTTGGTAATTTTCCTCTGATCTAAAGAGACCTTAACTGATCTCCAGAGAAGCAACAAAGGTTGAATCTGATTAGAACTCTTTCATTTTTACTTCTGGACCAATTCAGAAAATTGAAAAAGTAAATAAATGCTTCTGCTCCTTCTCTTTGCTCGTTAAAAGAAGGCAAATAAACAGGGGAGCTGTTATTACTAAGTAATTACTAACATGACCAAAGATTCAGAGAATAGCTATGGATTGAGGGCAGATTCTCAGCAATACAGATTTATAACACAGATATTCAGAGACAGCAATTTCTCTGTGAAAAAGATTTAAGCTGGTAGTAAATGTATAGTCTCAGTGCTACACAAGAGACTATGCATATGATATTCTTTTTAGCTGTCTTAGTTAAAAGAATATCATATCCAGTGGTGGGATTTAGCCAGTATGCAACACTTTGGCAGAACCAGTAGCTAATTTTTTGTTGCTCAGGCCCAGAATGGACTTCCGGAAATGGCATCCACACAGAGAACTGGTTGTTCACATATTTGAATCCCACCACTGATCATATTGTACCAGACAAAAGAATAGGATGGACATTCTGATTTCCATATACACCTCCCTCCCAATATGATTTGTAGTCTGTTTAAAAAAACAAAAGTAGTTCTACCAAAAAAAAAAAAAGTATCAGTTAGTAATTCATAACCATTACAGAAAGTTACTGGAAGTTTTTTTCTGAAGCATGGTGAAAAAGGAATCCTTTGTACATGTAGGATTAAACGAGTCAATCCATATTTTAGTCAAACTATTACAAGCACTCAAATTGTCTGACAAAATCATAACTGCTAATTAAGACACCAAATAACTGTGAAATTGCAATATAAAATCCATTTAATTTTATTGGGAATGCTAGGGCTCTCCCTATCAGTGAAATAACACCTCTCATCAGCTCCTTAGACACCAGAAGTACACTACCTCAGCTCTTCGCTCTTCCAATTAACAATTCAGATTGTTTTCATATGCTTTTCAACTGATTAAGAGCTCTTTTGCAGACTCGCTGCTCTCTGGTAGCTTTATCAAAATATATTGATCAGGCGCAAGGATGCACGCAAGCTTACCATTATACAATCCAATACCAGCTTATTCGGAAGTTAAGTCCCATGAAATTCAAGGGATTTATGCCAAATGAGGAAGTCTAAGAGTGTAGTTTAATTTGGTTGTTTGCTTTTTTTTTCCATCTGCCAAATGTGAAACCTACTGCTTAATATTTACTTTGAGAAGCTACAATATTAAATAAAAATCCCTAGTGGGTCTGGGTAAATATTCAGTGTTAAGCATTAATGCTGGCTTCTGGCTTCATCTATGTTGTGTTATTCAGCTCCTGCTAGCAGGCTGGTTGATTCCAGTATTCACTGCCATTAAAACGTAGATTGAAAAAACAATGACATCTGGGATTTATTCCTTCTAATAGAAATTTAAGTATTAATCAAATCCACAGTATGTTTAAATATTGGCAGAACTGCTTGCTTGACAGCACCAGTAAGTTGGATCACTCAGAAGCAATCTTTTAATCTCTCTTTTAAGAGATGCAGTCTTTTGTCTATCTATTAAACCAATTTTGTCTTAGTCATACTCAGAACTGGAGACCTATTTTGCCATCTGCAAGAACTGATGTGTCTTAATGTATGCCTCAGGCATGAAAATAGCTAAGATTTGTTTGCCACCAGAACCACTGTGTGCATTTTTGAAGCAATTGCCATTGCTAAGAGCTAGTTCCAACATGATGTTTGCCAGCTCCTCTGCCCATTTCACTTTCCATGCCAATGAACACTTAATGTGAACATTAGAAGCTCTGGGAGGTGGCACTCTCACATTAGCTTCCAAGGCTAGGTTGCACTTTAAAATGTGAACTCCTGCTCATGAAAGTTAATCTTGCTGAATTCAGAATCCTTATATGGGGCAAGGATATAAAATCAAACAAAACTGAATCATTTTTCAAGCTTAACAGCACAAATGCCACACCCACACAGCTGCTATGCCATACCTCCCCCAATCCAGAGTCAACAAGAAATGATGCCATCAAAAATCTTGCTGTCTCTAGAATACCCCCTCACCATACATTCAGAATGGGGTTGTGCTGTCTTGTATTGCTCTTTATACAACTTTAATGCACAATGTTCGCATAGCTGAAAATGATTATGGTTGGGTGTACAGCTAGATTTTTAGACTGGATATGGCATTTTTTATCCAGCTATTGAGTATTTTTCAAGATCCTGGGACAGACAGATATGTTTAATAATATTCATCACAAGATGTAAGCTATCCCAAGTAAAGCTACTTTTTGCAATTGATTGATGGTGATTTTTGTCAATGCTGATAGTGTTCTAATGGTTCTCCAGATGTTTTGGGATTGCACCCACTATCACTATTGTTTTCTTTTGCTATAGTCATTCTACTTCTGTTTGCAAGTCTTTGTATACTGTAATTTTCTCCAGTTCTTTCTCCTCTGTTCTACTGTCTCCAGGTACTACCATGTCTACTATCCAGACTTTTGGGTGGTCTTTATTATCAACAACTGCTAAGTCTGGAATGGCAGGTGCTCGTCTGATTCAAATATGTGAACTGGTTCTCTGTGTGGATGCCGCTTCTGGACATCCATTCTGGGCCTGGGCAACAAAAAATTAGCTACCGGTTCTGCCGAAGTGGTGCGAACTGGCTGAATCTCACCACTGCATTAAGCTCTTCCCAAGAGCCTAAGACGGCATAATGCATTGGTGTAGTGTATGCAGATATAATATAAACAGTGTGAGCTTTTGCATTGACAGAAAGAAATGTCAATGTGCAGATTTTTTATGTGCCATCCAAGATTTTTTGGTATGGCACCCAGTGTGCTGGGACTACCATAACAGGCTTTTACATTATAATCTTTCGATTTTGATATTGGGATCTTAATACTATGTGATCTTCTCACTTTTTTTCTTCTATTCTGCTATCCCCTGGTATTGTGTGCATGTTTCTTCAATGTGCAATCAGCCATGAATACCAATGTCACCATGAGACTTGGAACCATGGAAAAGTAGTGTTCACAGTGCATAAAAAAGTGCCATAAGAGTATCAGTTCTGTGTGCAGGTTCAGCTGAACAAAATGGTAGTGGCTATCAGGAACAATATTACACAAATGGCTGATTCTTATCCATCTTTCTACAAATTCAGCTAAGTGCATTTTCTTTCTTAGAGGTCATTAATAGTAGAAACATAAACTGCATATAGTATTCTGGATAATCTAATTTGAGCTATTTTTACATGTTTTGATTACTGTAAATCTAATATCAAAATTAGTAATTTCCTTACTAGCAATTTATAGCTTCTTCAATAATGATACGACTATATTTGTGCCAAATATTCATAATCCATACAACTTTTAACAGTTAACAGATATTTACTGTTCACAGTACTCTACTGTAACATTTAACAGAAGATATTATAAAAATGTAGCTTGGAAATAACAAGATTGTAGAATTGATATTAACAAGAATTTATCTATTCTTCATTTTTCATATTTAGCATGCCATTCAACTAGCATAAAAATGGTTCAGGTGAACTTTTGTGGGCTCTATGAAAACCAGAATGTTTTAATCTGACCTAGTTTAGATCAAGCCAGTGAAAAGATTTCATGCAGTTTCAAGACTCTAGATAAATGGTTTTCTGATAGACTCTGAGGAATTGACTGCTCAGGAATACATCTGATCCATTTGGTAATTTAGAATTACATTAGATGGCTGATAGAAAAAACTTGGAAACTATTATCTGAGTGCAAAGCAATAAGTGCAAAAATTTCAGTGCAGTCATATTTACACAAAAGCAAAGACAACCTTTGGAAAGCCTCTTGTTACAACCAAACTCAAACAAGCCTTTCGCTTGTTCTTGTGAAAATGTCTGCTGATTTACCCCACTCCTTAACACAGAAGTCACCAACCTTTGTCAGTTGGTGGACCAGAGGAAAAGGGAGGGAGAAGCATTTTATATGCATGTGTGCCCATGTATATGCATAGGGCTGTGAGCTTGCATGTGCTGCAAAGGGGATGGGACTAGCACCCATGTGATGCTCACTAGCCCTGCCCCATTCTTGCATGGCACAGCATTTTGTTTCTGCGCGGGGCCAGCCATTTTTGCACCTTGAAGCATGGCAATGGCCCATTTTTGCACCCCTTGGTGCAGCGGTGCCCCGTTTCCATGCCCTGAGGTATGGCAGCATCCCATTTTCATGCCCCAAGGGGAGGAGCAGCCTGTTTTTGCACCCTGTGGCACAGCATCCTATTTTTGTGCCGTGGCCATGGCGGTAACTCAAGTGAGGGGGTCCCATGGCCCAGTGGCCAGCAGGCCATGGTCCACTACTGGGGACCCCTGCCTTAACAGATACGATGGAGAAGCTGGTCACTGAGATACATGGGCCTAGTTAAAAATGGCAGTATAGTGACTAAGATTATGGCTGGGAATACTCCGGTTAAAGTCTATAGGCTTTGCTCAACCTTCCTCAGTGGATTATTTTTGCAGAGCTGAACATGAAAGGAGACCCCCATGTAATTCTTGGAGGAAAGGTGGGTGATAAATCTAATTACTAATAATTATTTATGATGATGGAGGTAAAGAAAAGGATGAGGGAAGTAAAGGCCCTGAAACCAGAGACAGTGAGCACAATGAATAGAGAGGCAGAAGCATGGGGAAAGTTAGATGCCCAAGTTGCTGAGACAAGTGAAAATGGGTCTTTGTTACTGGATGAAGAGAGCAAAGCAACAAGCAAATTACAAGATGCAGCCATAAGATTTTTTTTAAATGGATAGAATAAAAAATACATATTTTTGAAGGAAGTTGATGAATGGAACTAGCACTTACTAACAAAGCTTAAGAAGATAAAAAGCATTATCCTTATCTTATGTTGATTATAGTACCTGATCATACATACAGAGAAGTAGGAAATACAAGTGCCTCATTCTATATAGTATATTGTGCTATGTAGCATCTTGCCATTTCTTTCTGCACTCTTGATACATTAATTAATTGACTGAAACATCATCAAGGTAGGCTGGACTCCGGCTGAATTCATGGATAAATACTGTCCCACCTCAATTTGTCTCTAATAACAACCTCTGGTTCTTCCAATGAGACCCGTGGAAAAAGTCAGAGTTGGCTGTTTGCCTATTCCTATTGTAAAACCCTGGTGGGGTAGCATATTAAAAGCATACTGGACTGATTAGTATAAATAAATACATAAATATTAAATAGATATTTTATGATTTTTTTGCCTTTGAAAAAGTTATAAGTAGTATGAAAATTAGGGTAGCAGAGGAAAGTGATCACATGACGGATCTTTCAGTAGGACTAAATAAAAGTCTTTCTTTTTTCTCAAATGACCAATCCTTCAAATAAAGAGCCTTTATGAGATGAGCACAAATAATTATGTGATTTACTTGAACTCTATGCTCAGCATGAGCTAATCTGCTTCCCTTTAAAATTATTTTTTTAGATGCATGCTCACGAAACAGGGCTTTCTTTTCCAGTCTCCTACTTGATGCTGCAACTAGGAATTCATTACTTTTATTTTATAGCAGGGGTCCCCAACCCTGGTCCATAGACCGGCACCAGTCTGCTGCACACCAGAAACTGGGCTACACAAACAAGCAAAGCCCCATCCACAGTATGTAGGCAGCATGCGAAACCACGCCCCCTCCAATCCACAGAAAAAAAAAGTTTGGGAGCTGCTGCTTTATAGCACTCAGAAACATACTAAGAGGATCTCTTAAAAAGTTCTTTCTCATCAATCCAATTCAGTGGTTCTGAAACTGTCATTATTTGGCTAGTTAACATTTTTAGGAAAGAATATTACAATAGTTATCGTAAGTAAGATTCACGCAAGGCAAGTTTCAATGCATGAGTTGAATGCAACCCATTCTGTTGGAGTACTTAATACAGCATGTCAAAAAAAGGATATGAACAAAGTCATCATCATCATAGCTACAGACTGCTAGCTGAAGTTGGTCTTCCAAAAGTATCAGCTTCTTACTTATTCTTTCACATTTTTCTGTGAATTCTGTAGAAAGCATATCAAATTCCTGAAAGTAGATAAAGAAAAAATATGAAAAAAGAAATGGTTGTCATACATTCTGTTGTTATTACCATAATTGGTGTTTGATAATATTTCTCAACTCAGAAGCAAATGAAACATTACAGGAGCAGATCTAAGTCAAATACATACCAGAAATGAGGTATCATAGGAACCTTATGTTAAAGAGGCTATTTCCAAGAGATAAGCTCTCTCTCTCTCTTTCTCTCTCCCTCTCTTTCTCTCTATCTCTCTCTTTGTGGATACAGCATACTTTCAGCTGATTGTGTAAGTCTCTTTGCTATGCATTGGTTTCATATATAATTGGACCAATGGATTTCTTCCACACTTATCAAGCTGTAATTTATGCAACAGGAGATTAAACCTTAGTTCTTATTAAGGTGGTAAAGTTCTTTCTAGACTATACAGTTTGGTAATTTAGAAAATGGTGCTTGATATCCAACTAATGCTGCAAGAGTGTTGCTGCAAATTCAATTCCATGGTTGCCACACTAAATTATTATGATAGCTCTGCTCACTGGAACTGTTGAAAGTCTAAACAATTCTTCCATGTGCCTATGGAAACATAATGTAATTTGTGATTTTGGGAACTATGTCAAAGTATCAATTTTACACCAAAGAATCTGAGGTTTTGTTTTTTCACATTTAATTATTTTCTGAATTATTAAAACAAAACAAGTAGGCTGTCTATAATAGTTTACAGTCTAATTATTATGGTCCATTGCACAGACTAGTTTTGGCATGTTTATATACCTATCAAGCATTACACACCCTCTTTCTTCCTGATGGTTTTGTATTGCTCCCAAAAATGATATAAGTGTTTTTCACTGTTCTTTTAGCTAGCCTTCCATTTTAAACATAACTGCTATGAAGGAAGGAAGGAAGGAAGGAAGGAAGGAAGGAAGGAAGGAAGGAAGGAAGGAAGGAAGGAAGGAAGGAAGGAAGGAAGGAAGGAAGGAAATAATCTGATTTTACAGGAGGCACCAATGTTTAGAAAGCAAACTTTTGACATTCAGAATTCCTAAAATGGTCTCTATAGAACTTTATAATAATTGTATTTGATTTAATGTTGTCCCATAAAATTCTATTAGAGCATGGGTGTCAATCTCGATCACGTCACATGATGTATCGTGATGCATCACAATGTTTTTTGCCTTTGCAGAGCCGGGGTGGGTGTGGCCTGCACAAGCCACCAGTTTGACACCCCTGTATTAGAAGATGGGTTTACATCGGGTGTCAGTGTAGCATAAGCTTTTAAAAGCATGGACAATCAGACTGAAGAAGAGGAGAATTTCCATTATCATAAATGTTTTGGGGAATCTCTGAATGAAAGACAACAATGAACAATTCATTCCTCAAAGTGTTAAGTTGTTCTTCAGTATTTATAAGGATTTTGCATGTTGAGGGGAGGGGGGAAATACCTGAACAATTTACAAGATTGGGAGCTTTAAGAAAATACCTTGATGACTAGCAAGCTCTATTAACACAGTAAGTGTTGCTCATTTACAGATTTATAAGGCAACCACTCATGAAATTATTTATTTTCTTGAAAATACACATTGCCAAATGGATTGCTAATGATCAAGAAGCATGTATATCTCAGAATCAATGCTGAATAAAGCTATATATTTAGGAATATGATCTATTCACAACTATTACTTGAACTAAATACTGGATGTTGGTAGGAAACGCTTTCAGCAAAAGCTCATAAATGCACACTTATCAGTGAAAGTAATGAAAATGAGAAACTCCCATCTAATTTCCCCTCTGAGGACTTCACCCAAGTAGAGCCATGATAATTCCAAGTAGGCAATGTTTTATTTATTTTAAATATAGAATCTAAGCTGCAATTCCAGTGTTGATTTATCGAGTGCTTTAGCTGAATCTAACCAAACAGCACCACTATATATGGCTATAGGTCAGATTCCCACTGCAATCCCAGTAGAGACAGCCAAAACTGATTTGAAAATATTAGTTGCTATAAACAAAATTAGACATTGTGAAAGTTGTGACCTTTCGAAAGTCTGCTATCTTCATATCTTCTCTCTACCAAGTCCAAATCACAATACTTGAGCATACGGTTTAAATCTCAAATTATACAAGCATATATAAACTATATGCAAATCTCTGCTATCTATGCAGTTTTCTGGATGATTTGAGGAACTGGGTGTGTCTTCACCATGAATATATCTACTTTGATCTTTCTTGCTTGCATATTTGTTAAATCAGGTAGAGTTTCTCTCATATGTCATCCAAACCAAAGATTGTGACTTGTTGCTCATTTACAAACTAAGATTTTAAATCATGGCTTTTTCTTACTCATGAACTCCGGCTTCTTCAGGATCTCTGAATAAAATTGCATCCCATTTAAACCTTTCCTATTATTATTTTTTTGTTTTAAAAAGGGTGCTAACAACAAAGGTACAGAGTGGAAACAAACAAACTACATGTATAAATGCTTAATTTATATAATCATTTTGTATTCTTGATCAAGCATTTTGTGCAAATTCAGCCATTATAGCTCCACTAAGAACTGACAGGAATATAAAATATTTTTCATATACATATGAAAAATATCATATACAAGCAAATAAAAATAAAAAATAAAAATGTGTATACTGAAACTGTTATTTCAAATTTAATTAGAAACAAAATGTAGGCATATTAGGAGAAATAATAATAATATAGATACATGCACACATATACACATATCTGTTTTTTTAAGAAATGCAATTAAAAATATAACGTATAATTAATTATGACCTTGGCCTGGAATGTGTGACTTATTAGGTTGGGGGGGGGGAATGTTATCTCAGTTTCCTCCTGAATATTATTTCTTCCCATCTGCTCTCTTTCTCTCTCCCTCCCTCACCCCATAATAATCATTTTGTGTATAAATAGAAGTCCCAAGTCCAGATCAAGAGGGGGAATCCTACTTTTGGTACCACCCACCCCACCCTCTGCAAATTAAAATTAACCAAATGCAACCTATTTAATGGAATGTGGAATTTTTTTTCTTGTGGAAGTACTTTTGCTGTCAGAATTTCATATTTTTAATAACTGGAGCTAAACACCTTTTTAAATCAGAATCATTATTTTATTTATTTCCAAAGTTTGACTGATTTAACCAAAGAAATTAATAGACCAGAGCTGATACAAAATAGAGCATAGCTCAAATTAAAAGTTAATCATTTGTCTTTATGTCGTCCCTATCAGTCATCCTCTTTAAAAGCAACATAAAACCTTCTCACTTTAACTTCAAAAATAGGTAACTAAAATGCCTCTCAGCGGGTCCTATGCTTGTTAATGTCAATGCAATATTTTTTTATCTGCCTGATCTACTAATTATATAAAAAAGCTAGTGGCACTGAAACTACAGTATTTTAAGTATTTCCCAGGTGGAATTCTGCTACGCAGTCAGTGTATGTTCCAAAAACTTCCTTGTCAGTATGTTAGCCAAGTGACAGTCTAAAACTGTTACTGTTACAAGCAACTAGCTGTCATTCTGGAAACGTCTCTAGACTCTTCTGTTAATTAAAAATAATATTTTTAAACCAAACATTCTGAGGATGCAAAACTCTGCTTCCATGAAGGAGCCTAATATACCTTAGTACAGCTGAATCCCTATTTTATGAGCATGGCAGGTTTTCAGACCTTCTAAATTTTACAACATTTATTTAGTTAGTTAGTTACTTACTTGGTTGGTTGGTTGATTGATTAGATGCCATCTTGCTGGGAGATGGCAGAAAAACTTTGTTTATAGCAAAAGGAAACTGCTATCTTCATTTCACAAAATAGTTAATTTTTTTAAATCCCAGACCAGCTGGTTCCAAGTTACATTTTAATTAGTCCCAATCCTGAAGGTCAGTTAATGGCAGAGTGGGTAGAATGGGAGGAAATGACACTAATTTAGGATGGAGGCAGAGTTTAGAAACATATACATATAAGAATCTGGGGGAAGGAAGGAAGGAAGGAAGGAAGGAAGGAAGGAAGGAAGGAAGGAAGGAAGGAAGGAAGGAAGGAAGGAAGGAAGGAAGGAAGGAAAGAAGGAAGGACATTTGAAGTAGCAGGCCAAGAAGACCCTCCTCATCCCCCATCGGATAGACACTTATGAAGGAGAAGTAAAGGAGCATGGAGCAAGAGGCTTTGGGCAAAAAAGGATGACAGCAAAATATGGAGCCCATATTCTAGGTAAGATAAGAATACTGAAGAGAAATATTAGAACAGAAGGAAATGAGGTTAAAGGAAGATAAAAATAACATATTGAAACTGCCTAGAAACAATATTCTAGAATGAAAGAAATATTTCTCAGGAGAGAATTACAAAGAAGAACCATACACACAGCCATACACACAGAGAGAAATGTGAAATCATCAAGCAGAGTTTTGAAACAGTCGAGGGTTACAAAATCAGATAATTGAGAGAGTAAGAGAAATCCAAGGAGTTCACTGTTGCTTCACTGACTACAGCAAGGTCTGTCTATTAAAGGCTAATAAGCGTGCCAGAGCACTATTCTTCCGAGGAATCTTTACAATGAGCAAGAAACCACGGTACTCAAGGAACTGATCTGATATTTCTAATAGCGATATTGGTTGTGAAAGCTGAGCACAGATAGGAAAGAAGCTATAGTCCTTCAAATTATACATTTAAAAAAGTTTTCTATGAGTACTATTGAATGTAATGAAAACCAGTGAATCTGATCTGGGCCAAATAAAAGCTAACTGCTTCCTTGATCAGCAAGATGATCACATTTTGGGGGAAAGTGAGGCAAGCAGATGATGGACTAGGAAAAATCATTATGTTTGACAATGTTAAAAAAAATAGAAAAGGGGGAGACAACAGATAATGCTGATACATTCAAATAAATTATTGGCCATATAATATTGCTTAAGATAGGTTAGGATATTAAGCATTCATCCAGTCCTTACATTGTATGTTGTAGATGCAATGTCTAGAAGCCATAGCACTTTCACAAATACAACTGAAAATA